GCTACCTGTAACTGGATGTCAGTACAACAAGGAGCCAGTGCACCTCAGAAAGGCTCAAGTTTTGACCCTGTCCCTGGGACAGGATTTCTGAGGGTTTTTAAGTACAGCTCACTTGTTCGTTGCTGCAAGATCCAGAAAAAATGCATCAGAACCCCTAGAAGTATTTTGTATCAAAACTGATCATACTGCAAAGACTCCCTAAAAAACAAACAATCAAGAAAACCCATACGAGCGAGACACTGCCAAAATGTGCTCGTCAGAAAGATAAAAAAGACCAAAAAACCCCACTAAATTTAAGGGCTTTTAGTAGCTTTCCCCAATTTATGCTTCTCTTTTGAGCTGTGCCAAGAGCAAAGAACCCCTTGTTCTGTGCCCTGTGATGCCATGGTGAACGGGGAAGAGCGAAAGCTATTTGGGTGTCAGTGATGAAACCTGTGCATCCGAAGAGCAAAACCACTGTCAGGGGAAGACAGAGAGGTATCAGATCCTACTTCTGGGTCCTGTAGTAAACTGCTGGCAAAGCCTAGCTCATGTCCCTCCCTCCCACCACCAGCCCTCACTATCAGAACAACCCTAAAAATCTCTGCAGAGGCTGAAAGCAGATGAACCCTCCTTACTAATGACTGATTACTAATGGTAAAGTGGAGTTGATGGATATAAAGCAGTGATTTCACAATGTAGGATCACGCAGCTGGTTTATCTGACTGCTCTTAAATAAAGGCTTCCTTTCCCTGTATTTTGGATTTTTGCTTTCCAGTATGTGAACAACTTGATCCTTTCACCAACTCCCCTCACACTAATTGACGGTGAGGGAGTTTTGTAACACCAGGCAGAGCATCTTGAAATTCCCTTCCTACGGCACTACATGGGAATAAAACGTTCCAGATAATGAACTGGGTGACATTTCTGTGCTTTGCCCATGTTTCTCTATCCTCAGGTTACCACCAATAGAGGAACAATTGCAAAAATCTTACATGTATTTTAATGTAACACAGCGTTAGATTTTTTTTCCTTTTTTTATAGCATCGAAGTGCCACCTACTCTTACAAGGCTGTAGCAGGCTTATAAAGCAGAAAATAGGCACAGGATAAATCACTTGTTTTCCTGCACAGAAGGTTTTAGCCATTAATTTTGAGTGTAAAGAGTGACTTTTATATCTTTTTTTCCTGACTGACACTATTTTAAGGAGTCAGAATTTGTTTTCATCAATTTGATACATCTCAGCTTGTGTAATATTAAATATGGCAATAGCCTTTTAATCAAAATTTTTATTCAGTGAGACTATAATATCATCTGTGAAAGCAATGAAATTATGTACTGGGAGAAGACTGTTTCATGGGGAACTCAATGAAAATCAGCTGCTTTTTCACCAAAGCCACTGAAAATTCCTCCCACCCCCCACCCCCAGTTTCAAACAAGCCAGCACTGTTAAAACCAGGCTTTTCTCTCTTTAAACAAATGCACATTTCTCTTCCTGGGCCTCAAACCCAGAAGGGCCTGATCCATCCTGAAACTCCCAAGTGACCTGAGGGGTTGAGTGTCCATGTACAAACCTAACAGGGAGGACAGAGAGAAGGTACAGATCGCCCTTGTCTTTTGGGGTGGCTCGTCATGTTTTAGGCAAAAAAATCCTTGCCTGAATACATGCTAACTGAGAGCCAAGCTATATTTGTTTTCCCCATTACACCCTTCTCTGAAATCAGTGAGGAATTTTCAGTGTGGAAAACTGGCTCTCCAACTTTGGACTAGGCTGTGTGTTCCTCAAATCCATGAGGCAGCACTGCAGCCAGCAGGGCTGATTACAACTGGTTGCCAGGAAGCTTCCAAAAAGTCAACTAAGACTGTTAAAATATTGTCTGTATATGGGAAAAAAATATATTAACTGGCTTTATTTCTATAATGACCCCCTGTTGCTACAAGGAAATGTATTAGTGCAGTCATGGCTTTGCCCCTGTAAATCTGAGACAAGGCTGATCCCCACAAACAATCATCCCGTGGTTGTATTCCAGTGTATTTTTAGCACATTTGTGGGTTGTATTGGAAACACACGAGTGACTGCACATCCTCTGGAGTTGTTCCTGCTGTTTGTTGGTGTTAGCAACCTCCAGCCACGTTTGCAAAGACGGGGGCAATCCTGCCTTTGGAATTTATTCACCTCTGTGCTTCCTGCACCTTGCATTGACAGCTCCAGTAAACTGAGCAGTGTTTTCCTTCAAAGCTGCAGTGATTTCCCAAGTGGGAGCTGATTTTGGTGTTGCCTGTTGCCATTCCTCCTGACGGGAGGTGATGACCACCAATGACTTGCCACCCTGAGCAGGATGATGGATGGATCCTCCATGTGGAGCAGGACCCTTAATAAAGGATGTATTCCAAAATCTCCAGGCAGAAATCTTTCCTGAGGGTAACCTCTTCTAGAGACAACCTCCTGGTGATCCCCAGGGGACATCTGGAGATCCTGACACCCTCTGAACATTCACTGGTGAAAAGAGGAGTACCACTGTTGTTACCTGGCACTCCACAGGGTGCCCACATCTACTCTGAAAGTTTACAGGAAATATATGTGGGTAATAAAGAAATAAAGAGCCAGTATGTCACTTCAACCCAGCCATTGCAGATCCATTTACTCATCCTGCTCCAGGCTATTTCCATTGGTGTGTATGAGAGTTATCATATTTGTACTGCATTTATGGCAACTGCAGGGACAAATTTTCCCTAATTCTTTCTTCCAAATTTTGTGTTCAACAACTGTCCAGAGATAAGTCATTCCCTCTCTTTGATGCCCTTATTCTGGCATATTAATTGGCTCCAAATTCAAAAGGAAGAAAAAAAAAAAAGATGCTTTTGGGGTTAGTTGTGACAGTTTTGTCCAAGAGATGCTTGGGGAATATCAAAGGAAGGAAAATATTTTAAATATTCCCTTTCTAATGCTCTACTTAATAGGACTAATCTCCCTTTTATAATTAGGTAATTAGCATTATTTTCTTCATATTTAACTGCCTTTTTAAACACAAGACAGGGTGAAAGGCAAACAAAAGAACTACCTTTTTTGAGGCTGGTTAACAGTACCAGTGTTATAGATCTCTAACATGCAACCTCTTGCTGCTCACATCAATACCCACTCACAGTGCACCCAGTGCTGAAGGAACTGTTGCTGTGTATGCTCTGACTGTATATAAGGGATGATTTATTTTCCTTTCTGTCTTTTTCTTTCCTTCCTTTCTGTACTACTTTAAAAAAAAAAGATAATAATAATTATATGAAACCACAGAATCGATGCTAATGTACCACATTCTGTTTCTGGCCTGAAAATATAAAATACAAAGAAAATCTGTGTTAAAGCTGCAAATTCCCTCCTTTGCCACGCTGTCTGGGTACTGCAGGGGGGCAGACCAAGGGGTGTCCCCTCCCTCTGTGGTCACAGCAATAGCTGAAGATGCAGCCCCTGGTTCGGAGCTGCCTTGCAAACCTGGGCCAGAGAAAGACCATTAACCATAGCTAAGGATATTTTTGTATGCTTTAATATATTCTGTCTATGTTTTTATGGCTAAGGCATCGAGGGGTAGTTGAAATGAGTCTGTTTGATCATTTTCTTCGGTTCTGATAAAAAAACCAAAAACAACAACTCATTTGCTATTCAGATGGACTAAATTTGTTCCTTATGTGTGTCTCATTCTGCATGAACAGCAAAAGGACTCCCTGAATCCCTCTCCCTTCCCCCCCAGCTTCTCCAATGGTATTCAGAGTGGCAAATAAGGAGTATTTAATGAGGAAGCTTATTTCTAGTGCTATAACAGTAATAGCAGTAATAATAATGAAATTAAGAGGAGACAAAAGATAAAAGAAAAGACTGGAGTAATGACAACTAAATCAGGGTGTTTCTGGATTCCTTTGCCTTTTCATTTTTTAAAGATGGTTAATCTAAAGAACCAGCACAGATGAAAAACCAAGGCTGAGGGTGGGTGGAGAAAGCAGTTTTAAAAACTGTGCAAGCAGGGATGAAGCAGCCTCTGCAAACGACGGTACAACACTAAATAGCTTCATTCAGCAGGAGAGAGAACAGGGAAGGGTGAAGGAATGGGATGAAAGGGAAGACGAGAACGGGTGAGAAGCCAAGGGGACCACTGTGCACACACGGGAAATGAGAGTTTCCAGTGCCTTCCCCTCCCACGTTAGGGCTGTGGCAAGGACATCAGCAGAGATGTAAGAAAGATAGAGCGGGAGGTGCCGGGTCTCAGTCTCTCTCTCTCTCTCCTTCCAGAGCCGCAGCCACTCACACTCGCGACAGGCACAGGCAGACGTGCTTCCCCAAACACACGTGCCCACAGCCCCGTCATTTCCTCCGCCACCTCCCTGTGCCCCGGGAGCGCAGTGTCCCCTCACCCACCGCTGGGCTTGCTCAGCTCCTGCTCTGTGCCTCTGCCACTGATGGCTTGGGCTGCATTTCTTAGCTATCCTAGCCACAGTTCACCACAAGCTTTCTACAAAAGCAGACTTTCCTTTTCTACCCAATATATATATATATTTTTTTTTTTAAGAAACCCGCATTTAGAGAGATGGGTGATCTTGAGCTGTCACAGATTCTCCTGCTGATTATATCTGCACTCACATTCAGCTTTCATGTTCACAGCTATTACGACAAACAGATCTGAGATAATTTTTGCTGTGTTCATTTTCCCATTATGCACCAAGGTTATGCTTTTCCTTGACCTCCTCAACCCAGTCTAATATTAACAAATTGAGCATTTACACGGGTTCCTTTCCAAGCATGTACTTGATTAGGAATTTAGGAAATGCTGGTGATTTAAAGATTAACCTTTCATATAATTACTGACATAAATCAGTGCTATTAAGGTATTAGAAACAACTATTCAGAGCATATTCTCCATTTAAAAAAAACACCAAAACTCAAAAAACAAATCACATTTCAAGCCATGCGAAAGACTTTCCATATACCAGCCAATTTTTTTTTTTTTTTTTTAACACCAGAAGAACCTGGTGAAAGGAAAGGAGTAAGCACAGCCTACCTCTAAAGTTATGTAGAGGAAAGCAAAGCTATAAAAATAATACAGAAACCAAGCAACAGCCTTCTGCTGGCAAGACACAGCTTGTAATTGGGTGGGTGGCTGTGAAGAGCCGAGATGAATGCTGCAGAGCACTGTAATTTTATTGCACTGTGTCTGCTCTAAAGCGAGCATATTTGCAATGAAATCCGTATTTCCGTGAGAACAGGGCAATTGTTTTTTGTAACAAAGATAACGTCACTTGTTGGCGGTCAATTGAGACGCAATTCCTCAGCCTTTAAAGCGATTACTGTTCTCCTTCGCCTTTACTGGGGGGGATCGTTGGGGGAAACAGTCAAATGGAACAGGACTGAAAGGAGTTTGAGCCCAAAGTCCCAGATTTGCATTACAAGAGAAGAAAGTCTGTTTTGAAATAAACACCAGCGTTTCACCTTTTCCTCCATTTCTCTTCTTCATAAAAACCCCAAGTATGCACATTACTTCTGGAAGTCAGAGGGTGGCTAAAGGACAACACCGTGAGTGTCTGTGCTGGGCAAACAGCACTCACTGTTCTGCTGAGGTGCTTTTATTTGAAATCACTTTGCTGCTCTCATGTTCTTCACATCCTCACCAGCCACAGGAACCAACCCCCAGGAAGGTGTCTGTGGGTGCTGTGGAAACAGGACCAATTTCCTTCCATTTCTGAGCTAACAAAGACTCAATCCGGGATTTCAAAGGTAATAGGTAAGTAGAAAAATCTCCTTCATCACAGAATTATCGTTTGTAGCAGAGCAGATTTCTCTGGCTGACATGGGCAGGCACTAAACCCACTCATTCTTTTATTACCAACTTTATTCTGGCCCTTTTTGCTGAAGAGCCTTTCCCCCAGTAGCGAAACAGAGCACGGCACCAGAGAGAGGGCTAAAAATTGTATTTTCAGTAAAGGCTGAATGTAAAAAAATATGCATGGACACATCAAATTGATTTAAGGGCTGATCTAGTGAAGGCAAAGCAGCTCCTACACAGCAAATGTGCCTGCAGCAGCACACCTCTGTACCCTAGTGGTTACAGCCAGGTATGAGCAACCATCCTCTGATGGCTGGGGGACTCCAGCTGAAAACAGATTTCTGAATACCTTTTAAAACATATCCTTGCTAATTTTTATCCCTTCTCACCCATTCTCCCATCTCTCATTCCCAGAACCTCCCAGGCAGGGTGAATCAAAAGCGAGAGGGGAGGAAGAAGAAGAAAACCCTGAAAATCCCAAACTAAGCTGCAAGAACAGTGCACAGTTCTTGAATTCCAGAGGCTTTGGTTCTTTCCACCACTGCCAGTCCTTTGAAACCCATCTGCTATCAACCCTCTTTGCAAGATGAGAGGCAAACTGAGTTCCCAGGAGCAAACCTGGATCTGTCTCCATGGTTCAGTGCCTGTCTGACAGCCTGCCTTGCTAAGAGAGCCTGGTAAATATTAAAGAATGTTAATAATAATGAGATAAACAACCTGGGGATTTTTCCCTTTTTTTTTTTTTTTGGTTAAACTTGGCTCCTTACTCAAGTTTATCTTGACAGAATCTGATCCACATTATTTCCCAAAGCAATTTTTTTTCAACAGCAAACAGAAATCTGTGGCTGCTGCTAAAAGGTTTGCTAAAGAGGCCACTGCATGTCAAATGTTTGCCTTAATTTCATGTAAATGTCACTCCATATTGGACATTCTGTGTTTCTTTACCAGCATTTGCAGCTGCCTCCACCTTCAAAAACCTTCCCCTTGCACCTCAGCTACCTTTACAAACAGCCCAGAACCTGCTGCTACTGTCAGATCAAATTCCCAAACAACAACTAGATGTCATGAATTTATTATGTAATTGATGTACTCTAATAAATTGAATGTGAATCCCGTGGCCTGAAAGACAAAGAAATCATGGAGACAATACAGGAGTAGAAGGAAGGCATCTGACATGCTCTCTATGGGGAAGAAAACCCACAAAACAAAAGCACTGTGTGGGGCAGTGCTGGAGGAGCTCGAGGAAGGTGGAGGGCACAAAACATCAGCTGAAAAACAGGTGAATGACACGGGATAGAGGAAATCACTGCTAAAATGGGAAATGGGAAAGGGCACAGTGCCCATAACAGATTAATCATCAAGGTTTGGGTGATAACCAACACAGGAGAACCTCAGTAAGGGTTAACAAAGCTCTGTGGTGACACTTGATGACAAAATGAGTACTTACAAACACGTATTTGCAGTGGGAAAAGAGCAATGCATGAAGTCACATGGAACTAAACCCTGGGCTTATTCGTTCCTCTGTCCATCTTTTGTACAGAATTGGACCCACAAGAGATTGTGCTTTTACTTTACAGGAAATATGCTAAACCAAAAGTTACTTTTCCAATGGCTGGCACTTCTAACCTGAAGTAAACCTGACTGTACTGGTTTTGTGTACCTATTTCCCTGATTCCAGAAACTGTTATGGATTATATTAGGTTATTCTAGCTATTGGAATTAATATTTTCCCAAAAAGTTCACTGAAGTAGTTTTATAAAGTTACACTGAGTATCTTTCCTAATAAAAAAGAGTTGAAAACTTTTCCCCCTGGTTATCTTTTCCCATTGTGTAGGATATTCCAGCCCCAATCTGTCATTTTTCATTAGCAAAAGAGTCAATCTATGGCTGTTAATGAAAACTCTTAATGAGCATTTGGTGAATAAGCCCTGGAAAATCAAACTCCAAAGAAACACTAAAATCTACCTCAGATCTGTTGTTTGCAGGTAATAGTAAAGGGGAAATGACAGAGTGTTTAAAGCAATAGGGCATCTAAAACAACAAATAGGGTCAACCCACTGGTGTTTATCAAGACATTTAAAAAGTCATGGAATCACAGAATATTAAGGGCTAGAAGAGACCTTAAAGCCCATCTCATTCCACAGCCCTGCCACACCTTCCACCACAAGAATTTGTTCAAGGCCTTGAACACTTCCAGGGATGGAGGGGCAGCCACAGCTCCTCTGGGCAACCTATTCCAGCTTCTCACTATCCATAACTAACTATAACTAAAAATAAGTAAAATATATTGCAGTTCCCCTAATTTAGAGCTGATCATAACAGACTGCTAAGTCTTATCTCAGTGGCTGTTAATTAAATTTTGAGGTTTATTAAGGTCTGTAATACCAGACAACAGGGATAAATTGATGGGTTGTCTGTAGAGTAGCATCATGATTCTGTAATCAGCTGCACTCCTGAACTCTTGGACCAGCATAACAGCATTAACACAGTGGTATAAAGAACAGGCACTCTCATAGTTGGGCTTTCAAACAGCTTTTGACAAAATGCCTTTTAAAGATTTCATTGTCCCATAGATAAGACAAGCTCCATGGCCACAGAAGACTAGATAAGCCCCCAAAAATACAGTGGTCTTTTACAAAATACAGTGGAAAAATGGAGCATAGTGTGTGGTCCCAAGGCCAGGGCTGCTGAGTCATCCCAGCTCTGATCAGGAAATAGATGGCATTTTTCAAATGACAGATTATTTATATAGTGAAAAGTAATGAATGAAACTCATGGGAATGTGCAAGGGGTCTTCTAAAGGCTGAAGCTTTTATAAACCCTGATGGATGAAACTCTGAATTGCCAAATACAAAGCAAAAGACAAGATATAAGGAAAACTGTTCATCTGTGCCTGCTAATGTAAGTTATGGGCAACAAATGGACAATTTTCTTCCTGGGTATTGCATTAAACTCTCTGCTCAGTGTGCAGAGAGGGAAAAAAAAAAAAGAAAAAAGGTGGAAAAAAGAAAAGTGGAATAACATCTCAAATGTGCACAGAACAGAACAGCTCTCAAGAAATTAAAGAGCTTGATATAAATCACTCCTATGCCTTCAGTCGGAAAATCCTGTTAAGGATAAGTTAGGAAAGGATCTGAGTGCTAGATAAGGATAAACCACTGACAGGTAAAAGGATGAGTGCTTTAGGGAAGCTTGTATGAGAGGAGAGAGGCAAAGAAACCGGCCCTACAACTGCAGCACGAGAGCAAAACGTGGATCCACCCCCCCCTCTAGTGGCCAGTCCACACAGGGCTACTGCGAAAATAATCCAAATCACCGGCAGGTGACTTTAAAACAAGCACACACGCGTCTTTTTTATTCCCCCTTCAGTTTTATGTTGATTCCTGGTGTATTATTATTTTCCATTCCTCATTAAACTGCCTGCTGTATTCCTGTGTCATCACTCAGTACCGAAGCTGTTGCACAGAACAAGAATATTTTTGTGCAGTGCTTCTACCTGCCTGCAAGAAGAGGATACAGGGTGTGACAGGGGCCCGGGCACATTCTAGCATCAGGAATAATCATAAATTAAAAAAATAAGCTTTGGAACTCCCTGTACAAGGCACCACTGGTGCAAAAAATAGGCATTGAGAAAAGGAACAGTTGTACAGAAATGGGAACATGGAACTAATTTGGTACATAGATCCCTAAAACTTTTCAGATTAAAAAATATTATTTTTCAGGAACAGCATGTGGGACAAGGCACATCATGCAGGGGAAATGGTGTCTTTTATTTCCTAGTCATGGAGCAGTCACTGAAGTTCAGTGTTTCCAACCAACCTGCACAGCTACATCACCTGGAGAAACTGGGACCAGGACAACCCTTCCCACCCCCGTGTTCTGAACGCACACAGGTTCTTCTTGGCCACTCAGTCCTTCTTCTGTCTTCTGCAGGATGTTTGCTAAAACTGGAAGAATCCCCATTTTTACCAATTTCTCTGAATAATTCAGTATCACAGACCATTTCCTGTTCCTGTCATTTAACAATCCCAGCCTAGAACCTTTTGGGGACTGAAGAGCTGGGGGGCACTCAGGGGTGCTGCTGAGGACTGAGCAGGAGCTGGACTCTGTTTCTGGTTGGGATGACACCAAACACTTGGTTAGGACTGGATTTTTTGATTAAGTTGTGTTTTCTACCAAGAAATAAAAAAAAAAGAACAAAACCTGGTGGTTTGGAAACGAACATCTTTTGGTTGCCATTCCAGGGAGCCTACTCCATCCTTAGGCTAATAAATTCCAGTGTACCAGGCTGTGGTTGTAGGGCAGATATAAAGCAGCAAGGGATTAAATTTATCTCATAAAAATATTTCCATCACTCCAATTTTCTCTATCTCTGCTTTAAATGCCATCTTTGCTACTATTTTTTAAAATCTGGCTTAATTTATGTACCTAATATACAAATTAAGCCTTTCTACAGGTGATTTGCTAAGAAATGACCATGTATTTCTAACTGAGGCTTAACACACTGTTGTATGCATTTCAATAACTAAAGCAGGGCCACTACCCTCCTACAGATATTCTAAAATCACCATCTAAGATGATGCCTTTTGTACCTTACAGTAGCCTAGATGGAGCTCAGAGCTTGCACTCTGATTTTAATAATTCATTTGTTACACTGAAACTAAAGAATGCCACCAGGAACAAGGCACAGTTTGAATTCTCACACCTTAAATTACAAACAAAAAAAATAAATGTCAACATGTCTTAATAATTTTACAAATGTATTCAAATTATTTGTATAGGATGATGTTTGCAACTTGCTCTTCCATTACAGAATTGATTCATCATTGGCCACAGCCAGAGGAAGTGTGACAGTCTATCCCTTACAGAGGCAGTGCCAGACAACCCTTGTGTTCCTCGTGCCCACTCAAGTTTTGAGAGTAAGAACAAAAGGAACTGCACAGACAACTTAAAAAAAAGTAACCAAAGACACCTGAGCACTGTGGAGATGGGCACGAGTGTCAGGAAAAGCTCCCAGGGAACCCTAAAGAAAGCTGATCCTCTGCTCACTGTGGAGAGAAATCCAGACTGATCCACCAAGGACATTTGTTTTTCCATCAGCACTTGCAGATATTTCTGACAATTACAGAAGGGATTAGAAGTGAGGGATTTGGGTGAGGATTTTTCACCTACTGGTTAATGCAATAATACACTTAGTTTTGTATAATAAATTCAGATTTTCATCCCTAAATCATCTCAGTCTTACCCTGTCAATTCTTTCTTCTATATTCCTCCTCACAGTAGACAAAAGGCAAACTCTGATTTTTTAGCTGAAGAGCCAAAAGTTTCCACGTGTTGAAGAAAAGGGGCTTCTTCAGAATAACAGCTGAGTGTAATCTGTGATTTTCCTTGAGTGCCATTATTGGGGTAAATTAAGTGTCAGGTTCCAGACTAATTCATCCCTTATTAATTAACAATATCAACTTTTCTCTTTTCATTACAGATAACACATTTTACAGGGTACCAGGAGCAGTTTGCTATTACTGAAGTTATCTCAAAGGCTCTTCTCAAATATCTGCCATAATTAAAAAAAAAAAACAAACAAACAAAAAAACAAACCAAAACCACCCAAAAACCAGAAAACATTTAATCATAATTTTAATGATAGATCATTTCTTCCTGCACTAAAATGAAATCTTAAAAGCCATTTAATTAAACTGAATGATAACTGAATGACTTCAACCATGCAAAGAATTAAAACTGAAGCTGCTCCCTCCCCAGACACTACAATGTGGCGTGACAATTATTTACCACAAGGAAGGAAGCCTTAACAGAGCGAATTATTCCGAGCAGGCTTTTCATATTCACAAATAATAACTTATTTATAACTTCATTTATTTGCATTTTCAAGAGCAAATTTTTTACCTGTGTCATCCTGTAACGCTCAGAGTGACAAGAAGTTGTCAAGTGACCACATGCTCTGAACATCAGCAAAGAGTAAAACCTCAAAGCAAGGCCAAGGATTTGTTTGACAATCTCACAGCTTTTAGTTAAAAAAAAAAAAAGACTAAATTTCATGTTTAAGCCTCCTGGTGAGCCTGACAAACCACTCCCCCTCTGTCATTGAACCAGCCTTGCCCCAGCTGCAGCTTTACAACATAGATGATGCTCACCTGCACACATAAAGACTGTTTGCAACCACCTGCAACACACACTTGGAGCAATTTATTTTGTTTTTTCACCAGTGCACCTGTCTGCCCCTACCTCACAAGTGTGATCTGCCCTGTGGCTAACCTTGGATGAGTTAGTTTTCCCCTTCCAGGAGTTAAAAAGAGAAAGTTTCTTTACATTGCAAATGTTATTTGCTCAGTCTCTTCTCTGTGTGTTCTGTGCTCGCAGAGGATTAAAGAAGAAATTTTATCACGGAAAGAATAGGAAAATAGATTTGCAGATGTAGCAATCTTGTAAAGCCCAGAGTGCAGCAAAAACACTCACACTACCATCAGGAAGGAAAAATCATTTCCCAAATTGTCCCAAGCCTCTTCCTACAGAGATTAAAAGGACAATGATGCACCTCCTACGTGACTCCTTTCAACTGCTTGTAACAACAGGGCAGCTCCAGTTCCATTCCTGTGATCAGGCTCAGGATTATTTCACGCCTCTCCCTTGGTTCCTATATTTGTCAGGCATTTTTTGCAAAGCAAACACAAGTTATTTTATTCAGAGGTGTAGGGGGGAATAAAATGAACTGGCCCTTGATGCATTAGTCAGGTTACCATCACTACGAAGTAAAGCATCAATTGGGATGAAAACTCTAGAAATCACTTCTTTTTTCTTTTTTTTTTTTGATATTCTTGCCAACTACATAATTACACCCCAAATGATTTTGTGCCAGGTGGTTCGGCTAACAGATGGAATGGTGTCTTTGTTCACTCTTCACAAACCAAGCTCCTTTCAAAAACTGCGAGCCAGAAGTATCTAAATTATTGACTGACAGTTACAAATGCCTAATAATTAATTTAACTCTCGCTACAAATTGCAGTGAGTCCTGTGAGCACTATAGAAAATATGTGATAGTGTCTTTACAGTAGCATTTTTAACTCATGGCAGATAAAAATATCGGTGTGAAATGATGCACTGCAGACAAAAGAGCTTTGCTATGAAGCATCTTAGGAATGGTTAAAGCAGGATACATTACACAAAAGGCTTGAGAGATGGACCCCTGAGAACCTCAGGAAGTGTAGCAAGGCCAAAGACAAGGTCCTGCACCTGAGTCAGGGCAATCCCAATCCCAAGCACTGGCTGAGGGGAGAATGGATCAAGAGCAGCCCTGGGGAGGAGGACTTGGGAGTGCTGGTGGACGAGAAGCTCAACAAACCCCCGTGTCCTGGGCTGGTCCCACAGCGTGGGCAGCAGGGGAGGGGGGGATTCTGCCCCTCTGCCCCCTCAGGTGAGACCCCCTTGCAGAGCTGCCTCCAGCCCTGGGGCACCAACACAGGATGGATGTGGAGCTGCTGGAACAGATCCAGAGGAGGCCTCACATTGATCAGAGGGAGGGAGCAGCTCTGAAAGGCTGAGAGAGTTGGGGTTGTTCAGCCTGGAAAGGAAAAGGCTCCAGGTTGACCACCTTAAGCACCTTCCAGTACCTAAAGGGGCTCCAAGAGAGCTGGAGAGGGACTATTTACAAGAACCTGGAGTGACAGGACAAGGGGGAATGGATTCAGACTGACAAAGGGCAGGGTTAGATTAGATATCAGCAAGAAATTCTTCCCTATGATGCCAGGAGGCCCTGGCACAGGTTGCCCAGAGAAGGTGTGTCTGCCCCTGGATCCCTGGAAGTGTCCAAGGCCAGGTTGGACAGGGCTTGGAGCAACCTGCTCTGGTAGAAGGTGTCCCTGACCATGGCAGGGGGTCGGGACAAGACAGTCTTTAAGTTCCTTTCCAACCTAAACCATTCCATGATAAAAATTGTTCCTAAAAGATTATTCTTCACAATCCCAAATCCCCAAATGCTTAGTAAAACCAGCTGGGGGTTGTGAGCAGTGCTAACAAACGCAGTCAGGTTCAGAAGACTCCTCCCAGACAACACATACTCTGTCTGACCACCCTTAACGCAGACAGTAAATCCTGCCTGGTCGTGCAGATTAAACCGTGCTCAGAAAGCAGGGCAGGCATTTCAGATTGATGAATAGCACATGCCATCAGTCATTTCCAAGCAGGAAACAGGCTGGATTTTCTGCTCCTGTGCCATGAAGGTACAAGAACTCTATGGAAGAGCTGACCCTCCCCCATTAAACACTTCCCTAAACACCTGCAAACATCACCAATTTCCCTGCCCATGTAATGACCCTCATCATAATCCCACAAAGCTGAGGGGAACAACAGATACATTTCCCACCCAACCCTCCCATGAGAAAATAGTAATTAATTTAAAAAAAAAAAAACAAACCAGAAAATGAGAAAAGCTTTTTGTCATAGTATATTAATATCCCTACTTCTGCTATCACAGAGCTGTGCCAGAACACTGATTTAATAGGCCCTGCAAAAGCAATTACCATGCAAATAATATTAGCCAGCAATTTATTATTTTTTTTAGTAAAGTCCTTGTTTTGGCTAGCAGACCACAGTAACAGATTCCAATAAAACTGGGTAATTGAAAGAAATTGCAAGTGTCTAAATAGCTGTGACACCAAGCATATGAAGCAACAGTTCTCAGCCTGGCCTATTGGTCTGCTTGTGATTTCAAATATGGACAACCTGGGGAGCCAGCAAAGGAACAGCCTGCACAGCAAAAAGAGACTACTGAAGAGAAAGAAAGATACTCAGTAAAAGTCCCTTTTACTGGAGACATTAGCAAAAGGGCAATGGAGAATAACAGAGTGGTTTAAGCCACTTAAGAAATAGCATTCCTGCCTTGAATCCTCCTGTTTCCCCTGGATTTCTTCACAAGAAACATATTATTTGGAGTAAGTCTGCCATTTTTAAACAGTATACATTCATCTATTTATAGCACAGGACTGGAAACCTGCTTAGATTCACTGAAATGTTAAGCTTCATGTGCAGCTTTAGAAGTTGTCAGTTGATTCTTTTGCCTTGGACTGTTCAGAGGAATAGGATTTCACTCAAATCACTCAATTTTTGTGTTCTTCACGTGACTACCAGAAAACGAACCAAAGTTGCTTAACTCACACCAGAGCACTGTGACATTCACAAAACTAAGGGAACTGCATAAAAACATTGAATTCCCATACAAAACAGCTACTGACAGCTGTGTACTCCGAGACACAATAACATGGCTAACAATTAAACGATGCCTCCTAGGAAATCTGGGACCAGAAGACGTGTCATAGTCAAGCCTGTCATCCCTGCAGAGAGCTTTGAGGGTCATCATATATGCACGCACTTCACAAGCAGGGCCAGCAGAAGCCAGAAAGGTCACTGAAAAGCTCATAAAAATGCCAACAGCAGAACAGAGAAACAATTTTTACACAAATCTTTCTGACTATTTCAGACAGTGAAAACCTCGTCATAATTCCAGCACTCAGTTCACTACAGGACTCAATCAAGAAGCAAGGTAAGGGTGTTGGGAAGCTCCAGTGTTGTGCAATGTTTATGAACAAGCTCAGAGACTGTTAGTGATTCCATCTTCATATAAGTGAACAAACAAAAATATATACAAAAGGATATGCCTTCTCTGAAATAGTTTTTTAAAGTCTTTATGTCTCAAAAAATCTTAATGATCTTAATTATTATTAATCTCTCAATTATCTTAACCTTATCTTACAAGACACCTCTGCTGGGTTGATCACTGAATTAATAATTTAGCATTTTGCAGTGGAAATCTGCCTCACTTCCTCATGGGTTCGTCAGGAGAATGGCAGCTGACATCACCAAATCAGGCAGGAACACATTTGGCATTTGC